TTTCATAATTCTCACTTCGATAACGATGTAGGAAGAATCATTAAACCCCTTACGATTCAATCAGAATCTGTGATTTGGGTGGTCCACGAGTCAAAGCGCTGTCCGGCACAGGCAAAGATCCCCGCAAGCAGCGATCCAAACAACGATCCTGCGTTTGTTTCTAAAAGTTATTAATTTTATTTTGTTGTGTAAAAAGTCTTATAAAAGGCTATTTCTTTTGAATTTGTTGTAATCGATCGAAGATATAATGGAATTCCACAACGAGGGCAATTTTGACGAAACAAACTGGCGACCACAGTGGGAGCCAACGGTCTCGCTGCGGCGAGAGACCGTTCGTGTCGCAGCAACCATCAAGATCCGTGTTGAATCAACGTCGAGAGTATAAGTTCGACCCAAGCAAAGTTTGAGGAGTATTTGTCATCCTTATCTGTAAAGTCTTTCTCGCCTCGCAAATGCAAGAAGATTTTATCTTTTTGTGAAGATGTCAAACACTACAGAAGAAGGACTCCGTGAATCTCTCTCCGATATCTTATCAAAGTAAGATAGTCGTTCTTCTTGAGATCAAGTCAAAGCTCGAATCTCAAGGGATTGTCAGAAGCTCAGGAACTCTGCTCTCTCTGCTCCAAAGTGCTCAAAAATGATCCCCCCCTCAAAATGATCTCAGGGGGGTATTTATAGCCCTTAGGATGAAATCTGCTTCCGAGACAGTGTTTGCTGTCTCGGCGGCCGAGACAACAAAGACTGTCTCGTGTCTCGGGTTCCGAGACAGTAAATACTGTCTCGGAAATCCTCAACCGCCCAGCAGTTTTCTTGTAACTACCTTCCCACGTTTTACAACTTCATTATTTTGGCAGTTATCAACGTGATTCTCGCCCACGACGTTTCCCACGTTCTTGAACAGTTGGTGGCCACGTGTCGGCAGTTACAAAATAGTTTCTGACTTCTTTGAAAGCTGTCTCGTGGGCGAGACAGAGAATGCTGTCTCGTGGGCGAGACAGAGAATGCTGTCTCGCATGGCGAGACAGAGAATGCTGTCTCGCATGGCGAGACAGAGAATATTGTCTCGCCTGCGAGATAGTAAAGACTGTCTCGCGTGCGAGATAGCCCATAAGCACTGTCTCGCGTGCGAGATAGTAAAGACTGTCTCGCGTGCGAGACAGTAAAGACTGTCTCGCGTGCGAGACAACCCATACTTGTGTTCTTCTGCCTTTTTTGGATGATATCCTTTTTGAGCTGTATTCGGATATCTTTCAGCATTTTTTGACGCTTACAAGCCTTAAATTTGTCACCATTGAAATTGGCGGGGTTTTCCCCCCACCAAACTAATAATGAGGAAACTATTATTTCCTTGCTAATTGATTCTTTTGATGAGGAAACGGTTCCTCACAGATGGATCTTCAGCGAGGAAATCATATTGTCGTTGTTATATTTGGCGGGTTTTCCTCTATTTTTCGCGAAAAGAATAGCGATGAAACTGATCTATTGTTATCAGTTAAATGTGCATTTCGTGATGAAAAGTTCATCACCAAAATCTTATATTTCCTCACGCAATAAAGATAACTAGTTAGGAGACCATCATAGATCATTCTGTAGTGAGGAACTAATAATTTCATCGTAGAAGTGGTTAACTGGTGAAGGAAATATAATTCTCTCGTGAAGAAGACTTACTGTAATTATACCGGAGGAAACAATATTTTCAACCCTCCAGTCGAAAGTGATATTTGTTGTGAGGAAAATAATTTTCGTCACAAAAAAGATTGGTCGGCTAAAAACCTGTCTGTTGTAAGTGTGCAACTCTAAAAATTTTGTGATCCTTTATAAGGACAAAAGTATGAGTACGAGCCTTCTAACATTTTGCTCTCACAACAGTTAAAAGTTACACTTAGTAGATGAGGATATTCCCAGATGAATATTATAAAATAATATATCATGATACATTAACCCTAGGCAAGTGGCAGTTATAATCAGCATTTTCTTTATTCACATTGTTTGGGAGTAAGATTTAATAGGGGCCTTGCATCAAAGGAAAAAAAGAAAATTTTATATTATTTAGAGCCATGGTAATATATCACACATCCCTACTTCTATATTTCACAAAGAACATAAGTTTCATGACTTTTTAATTTACTTCTATTATACGGAGAAATGAACTATAAAATTGAATAAGAATGTTAGATTTAATGTAAAATACGATGAAAACTGACACAACTAAAAATTAATGTGAAAATATGTCAAACCACAACTAAAAGTTTAATAGGCATATTGCGAAATAAAGTAAATTATATTGCAAAATCTTAGGCCGAATATGAAATATGATCACACATTCTTTGAAGACTTCAAGATACCTAATAACAGGAGATGATTATACATAGTCAATAATGTTTATCACTTACAAATAATAAATACCGATGACTGTTGTTTGACGTGTGCTGACCGGTAACCTGAAGATAGAAATCAACAAGTCAGCTGAAAATCCCGCATCAGTCGACCGAAGAAACCTCTGATTAGTCGACCTGACGTAGACTGTAAGGAACAAAACAGAAAACCACGTTTTTGGATATGCGACTAATGGAGATCGATTCATGACAGTACGAACTATGATAAGGAAGCTCATCAGTTTGACTGCGTTTATGTGCCACCAGTCGATCCGATAGACAGTGCACGAGACCGGACCCTCGTAAAAAACCGTGTTCTAAGCTAGGTCGACTGATGCAGTGTGCCAACCAGTCGACTGATAGCGGTATATGGGCTTTCCTGGTTGGGATTTGGAATCTATGTTTAAGCTAGGTATATATATAATCCTTACAACTTTTTAGGGTTATGGCAACACACGAATAAGAGAGGGTTTTATGAGAGCGAGTTTTCTGACACTTTGAGAGAGAGGCTCAGAGAGATGAGAGAGGCCCATTTGCAAGACATTGTAATCTCTTCACATATCAAATGAATTTTCTGGTGTGGCTGCCGCGGGGATGTAGGCACGTTTATCCAGACACTCGTTAAATCTGGTGTTTCTCTCTTTGTTTTCTGTTCATAGCAGTTTTTCTTTTAGTTTGCTGTGATTTTTGCTTTGTCTATTTCGAACACAAGCTCTGGAAGGGCACGGGTGTCGTGTTTCAAGCCCACAACAGGTGGATCACAGGTCCTGGTTGTAAGGAAACAATGATAAATATTCATTGGAAAAAAGAGATTATTCAAGTTGATGACATTAATCGCCACAAAAAACTTTTTTTTATTTTTATACAATTTAAATAATTATGATATTCAAAGTAGGCATCTCAACTAGTATATATATATATAGAAGTGTGTGTGTTTTTGGTTTACTAACACCATCAAATTTAATTATACAGGCTATTCTTGCTCGTTTTGGAGTTCTAGTTGACTATGCAAGTGAGTTTGTTTTTTTCGCAATCATTGGAAATTTAATTACTTGTCTTTTGTTGAGGGCTTTAAAAGCATTAATTAAACCAATCTTTGCCTTGTTTTGAGGTGAATAATCGGTAAATTAATTAATGCAGTTAAAACCATCATAAATCCGAAACATTTATCACCCAATTACTCCAGAAACACACATACGCAATCCAACTCCTACATAAACCCCACAATTTACTCTGCCTTCACGAAGTGATCAACCCTGCAACCATGATCATGATCGTCTTCCTCCTCGCCGCCGCTGCCACCGCAACTCCATCCCCATCGCCTCAGCCCGCAGTCGACGAGTTCGGGACCGGACTCTCATTCCCGGTCATCCCGCTCGAAGAAGCCCCGTCGCTGGACGCGGCCTCCATCGACGACGTCAAATTCGCCCTCCCCTTCATCGACGGCGACGTCAGCGTGAAGAAGTGCTGGAACACGATAGTGGGCGTGGAGGGATGCGCGGGCAGTCTTCTCGAGTCGCTGCAGACTTTGCAGATCAAGATCGGACCAAAGTGCTGCCACGTGATCAAGAATATCGGCGACAAGTGTTTTCATAGCTTGTTCGATAGTCTGCCGTTTAATCCATCCTGGTTTTGGCCCGACTCTCGGTTCATAGTATTCTGTGGGCAAAGAAAG